GACGTTTTCGACTGTTTTCTTTCTTTTCCCACTACAGGAGTCAGCTAGCACACAAATTCTGTTTTCGCTACATTTACAAAGTATACCCCGCCCTCATTCACAAATTTCTTTGAAGTTGGTTTGAAACAGTCGCTTTACAATATGACCCTTTCTAAAAGTTTTTGCTGTGAACGAATTTCGAGTGCTGCTTTGTATTTAGGGCTCAGTCGGATCGCCGCCTTCGGCGGGCGATCCTCCTTATGCGTGTGAAGTGGGTCCCCGGCCATCCAAACTGAGGGCCAGTCGGATCGCCCGCCTTCGGCGGGCGATCCTCCTTATGCGTGTGAAGTGGGTCCCCGGCCATCCAAACTGAGGGCCAGTCGGATCGCCGCCTTCGGCGGGCGATCCTCCTTATGCGTGTGAAGTGGGTCCCCGGCCATCCAAACTGAGGGCCAGTCGGATCGCCCGCCTTCGGCGGGCGATCCTCCTTATGCGTGTGAAGTGGGTCCCCGGCCATCCAAACTGAGGGCCAGTCGGATCGCCCGCCTTCGGCGGGCGATCCTCCTTATGCGTGTGAAGTGGGTCCCCGGCCATCCAAACTGAGGGCCAGTCGGATCGCCCGCCTTCGGCGGGCGATCCTCCTTATGCGTGTGAAGTGGGTCCCCGGCCATCCAAACTGAGGGCCCAGTCGGATCGCCCGCCTTCGCTACAGAAAATTTTTTTTGCAATTCCAGAACATTACCGTTTCACATTTGGTATATACCCCCCCCCCCCCCCCCCCCCCCCCCCCCCCTAGTGGACGGTTGTGAAATTTTCGTGAAGGCGAGGGGTGGAATGCCGGTAGTGGATGAACTGAAGTGAGTGGAAGTGTGTGTGTGTGTGTTGAGTTGTTGTAGAATGAATAGCAGGTAATTAAACAAATAAATAAATGCAAAAAATTGGTAGTAAGTTATGAATTTTTCGATTATGAGCTCATATTCAACAACAACTTTGCTGTTTCCTTTTTCCAACTGCCTTGCGACTATATTATGAACTTTTGCAGCAGGCGCCGCCGACTCGGCGCGCATCTCATCCGCTGGGGTGTGTCTTCACTTATGTTACCCCCCCCTCGCCCCCCCCCCTCTCCATAGAATGCAGCCCACTCGAATCTGTAACAAAATTCGAGTCGATCAACAGAGCTGGTTCATCCAAACACTGCTCGCAAAAATCGATCGAATCAACCTCGACCCACTTCTTACTCCACGTTTTCGCTGCTCGGGTAGTTCCGGGTTTGAACTTCGAAATTTTTACTTGGTCCCCGCCTACCCAGACAAACGCCCGCCGACTGCAATCTGCCGGGCTCTTTCCAACGCCCAGTTCGGGTGTGCCTCCTTCTGTTTATCTACCTGCCCACTTTTACTCGAGTCCGTTTTCCCGCTGCCCGAGTAGTTCCGGGTCTGAATTTTGAAGATTTGCGTTAGGCCGTTAGGCCCCGCCCGCCCGAACAAACGCCCCGCTCACTTCGGGTGTGCCCCCACGCCCATTGTGGGTGTAGTCTAACGTGGTGCATAGAGAATGATTTTGTCCCGGGTCACCCTTATCCCGCCCATTGTGGCGGAGCCTATTCTCCTATTTTGGTCGTCCGTTATCGGCGAAACACGCAAACATACAAACACAGCAACTTCTTGCTTTATATATAGATGAAGGATAGAAAGGAATATTCCTCAAGAGTTGCCTGGGTATATAGTGGCTTGGCAGGGCACATCATTGGTTGGGGATTTTAGCTGGTCTGTACGACCTTACCTCCCTTTTTTGGGCTGTTCGAAGCGTGTGGGGGAGGGCATATATTACGCATGAAACGGGAAAATCATAAAAAGTCAACCACCGCTCCTACAACGCCAAAACGTAATACGACCTCCCCTCCCAACAATGACCAAGTACGACCCCCCCCCCCCTTTACAACGTCCATGAAGCGAGAAAAATCAACTATCAAAATAAATTTTTCCCAGCCCAAATACGACCCCCTCTCCTGGCGGCCAAATACGACCCACCCTATTGGGGATTGCCCAACAACGATGTGCCCTGTGACTTGGTTCTTCGAAATTTTCTCCTTTTATCGGATTGGTAAGTTCTTCGGATCGTCTTGTCAGTTTCACTTTAGATGTTTTATGCTGAAGTCATGGTCCTTGTTGTAGCATGGCACTTGCGGGATGTTCGAATCGCCACGATACCGACTGAAACGTATGGTGAGCGGCCTTGCCACTTCTACCAAAGGTGAGTATTCAGTGTGGGTTACCTAAACAAATACTACTCATTCTATGTGAAAAATATTTCGTGTGCATTAGAGGAGACACCTCATGTTTTGGGTATGTGTCAGTATAAATGTTTTTTATATGTGCGTCATTATGTTTACCCTCAGAAAGAAGGAACTGTTAGCGCGATAAAAAAGCCAAACAAAGAAAACAGAAGAGGAAAGTGTTTTACTGTACGAGCCACTAGCTTCTTTTCAGGCGAAAGACCGTTTCGTGAATTCAAGCGCAGAATGTTTAAAAAAGATTACCGATTGCCTGAAAAAAAAAAAATAAATTTTTTTGTGACTGTTCCGTAAGCTTATGGGGAACTGAGTGTATATTAGGTTGTCCGGAAAGTTCTTAGCGTTTTGGGTGTTTAACTTTAAACGATCATAACTTTCTTAACACTCATCGGATTTAATCCAAATAAGCACCATTCGAATCAGCACACTTTTGCCAATGTGACAGCAGTCGAGAAATCCCATCAAAGAAAAAACTGGGTGGTCGAGAATCCACGAAATCTGCGAAGGTCTTTTTTGCCTGGTCTTAATTGATGAAGTATTTTTCAGCAAGGAAGTTCTGAAAATGTCTGAAAAGGTGACAGTCGGTTGGTGAAAGGTCTAGAGAATATGGTGGGTGAGGTAGAACTTCAACTCCCAAATGTCGTGTCATTTATGATTTAGTGATTTTGTGAAACGTGTGGGCGGGCGTTGTCATGCAAAAGAATCGGACCCTTTCTTTTGATAAGTGTTGGCTGCAGCTGACAATATTTTCGGAACATTTGGTCGGTTTGTTACAAGATAGGGTTTGCTGTGATGGTTTGGCCTGGTGATGAAAAGTTATAGTGGATTACAACAGCCGATGACCACCAAACCTGACCAGAATTTTTTTTTCGCGAGGGTTCGGCTTTGAAAATTACCTCGGTGGTTCCTCCAAATCCAATACCACTGTTTTTTTTTTTTTTTTTTTTTTTTTTTTCCCACTGTCAAGAACGTCTCCTGTTATCATACATGATCCATTTTTCATCACAGGTGACAAATCCGTTCAAAAACGGGTCAATTCTTTTGCGCAAAAGCAGTGAAGAAGGAACCTCGAGACGTGCCGATTCCTGCCGGTCACTCCGATTGTGGGGCACCCAATTGTCGAGTTTTTTCACCTTCCAATGCGTTCCAGACCATCTGCAACAGTGGATTTGCCAAGCCTAGCTCTTCTGCTATCTCTCGAACTGTTTGGGATGGGTCAGCCTTCAAAATCCCCCTAAAATCCTCGTCAGATATTGCTTTAGGTCGACCGCTATGAGGCTCACCTTCAAGGCTGAAATCTCCAGAGCGAAATTTATTGAGCCATTGCCGCACAGTGCTTTCTTTAGCACTATTGGGCCCCCACACCTGGTTAATTTGTTGAGCTGTTTCGATTGCGGATTGCCCCAATTTATAGCCGAAGAAAAAAATCGTCCGAAGTGCTCTTTTCACATGCTTGAAAAAATCTTGAAAAAAGAGGGTTTATCAAGCAATGGTGAAACGGCAATTATACCATCAGATAGCGCAAGAAATTCTCTACAGGATGTGCTACTGAGAAGCAAGGCAGAATGAGTTTTTAATCAGCAGTGAATGTACAAAGATTAGGTGCACAAAACGCTAAGAACTTTCCGGACAACCTAATAGAAATGGCAGGGGAAGCTCCAGAAGCTTTATCCAAAAACGCAAAAAGGTACAAAATCCTCCAAAATATTTCTGTTGCGTGCATAATCGCCATTTAAGCCCTTGGTAGATTACAGATCTAGAGTGGCTGCGATAACACACATAACATCAGTGATTCAGTTTGCATATTCTCCACCGCACGGATCCCTAGAAGACTGTTCCGATTCGTCGGCTCTGCCACTGTTTCGAGTCGCGAGCTGAAGGTTACTATTTGGGGCCACCGTACCAAGGTGCAGAATTTCAGGTCACAATAGATAGCTGCGAGAAACCAATGATTCCCTGATTACCATATAGGCTCCTTGATTCCCAAAAAGCAGGAAACGAGAAAAGATTGTATGATGTGAGACTCTTTTTGCCACTGGAGCCTATTGAGAAAGGGAACTTTTTCAGGACAAATTCATGCGAAAGTGATCGCCCGTCTTCATCGGTCGCCGGGCGTCAGCAATGTTCAAGCCGGGAAAGCAGCCAATATGTTCGAGGACTAAAAGATCACAATTCCTCACAATTTTCACTATCCTAAATGACCTAATATGGCGAAGTGGTAACCTTTAGGTGGGCGAAAAAGGGCCAACGACGGTTTGGACAAAAATTCAGAGTTTTGGCAATTTTCAAATGACCTTTCCAATATATCGATGTTTTTAATTGACAAGAAAGACTCAGCACTGGTATCTATGTGACAGTGCGTAGGGTTAGTATCCGCAGTTTCCGCTTCATTAGCCATGTATAGCGTAGAAGCCATTTTCCGTCTTGCTGATAAGTGACATAACTAACGTGAAGTGCATTGTTGCTGATAAGGCCAGCGACTAGTCATCTCCAGCCGTCAGTACTCACCGAAGACATCTCCACTGCCAGACGTATTACTTCCTTATGTACTTGATATCGAAACACGTCACAAATTTTGCTCAAACTTTAATCGCACAGTTTTCTACAACCCTCCAGTAGCAGCGTCTGACTGAATTCTAGCGCTACTCGTTTCGCATATGAGAATTTTTCGCTTTGTCCAATACAACTACTTATTTCAGGTGTGTATTGAACCGTCTGCGCCATCAAAATGGGCTCCATCTACCGTTCGGAGGTGATGAGCCTCTGCCAGATATTCTTACAGACGGACTCTGCCTACCAATGTGTAGCGGAACTTGGAGAACTTGGTCTTGTGCAATTTCTAGATGTGAGCAGCAAACTTGACTTTTTCGAATGACATCTTGATTGGAATACCCAACAGACGGACTTCACAGCACTTATTCTGTGGCTATTTAGTTGAACGAGGAGATGAATGCGTATCAGAGGAAATTCGTAAACGAAGTACGTCGATGTGAAGAGATGGAGAGGAAACTGAAGTGAGCCCTAGATAAAGATCTTGAAAATCACAGCCGCCGCTATTCAAAAATGTTCGGTAGGACCGAACAGTCCGAAAATTCAATTTTTCACACATCGTCATTTCGATTCTTCTGACAAGCTGCATTAATTTTGAAAAATTCTCAACATACGCTCAAGAATCTCAAACTCTTAATCTCGCTCGAATTCATCTTTTGTGCTCTTGGGAGCATATTCCACGCCCATCGCATGGGTGGAGTCACTGCGATCATTACGTCTTCCTTATTGGTGATCCCCTAGCGTTCGACTTCTGAAAAGGAGCTGTTCACCAATAAGAAGGCTCCGTGATCGAAGTGGTCCCTCATATGGTATTAGGATGGAAGTTCAATTCAATTTCCTTTTGAAGTTGTAAGCAAGAACTCAGTTCAATTCCGGGAATTCTTTTTACGGGAATCCTTTCTATTTTCTTTTTACGGGGCTCATCGCCCGATTCTTCTGGTGTATTACTGTTCATTCTATTTTTGCCTGTTAAGATTTTATCGAAGCAGAAGTGCTAAAGGACGAGGTGGAGATAGTGGACCATGACGAGCATGTTCCAGCACCTCAGCCGAAGAACATGGTCGAAATGGAGGTGAGTTCCACCTTGGGCTTCTAAGTGTTGGTAGGTAGGAGTTCGACTAACGCCACGCTCCTAGAACAGGTTTCTTAACACTGGAAAAAATAAAATCAAATAATATCTGGTTGCCCGCCCTCAGCACTTTCTTTTGTTTTTAGGCGCTAGAAAGTGACCTCATAGATGGACAAGCTGGAATCGCGGCTTTATTCTAGCGAACTTGCCTGAATTCAGCTACTTCTTGTCATGTATTTCTCAACGTTGAGTAACTTCTCAAATTGCAGGCCAATTTCGAGAAACTCGAAGAGGAACTGCTTTCGATCAACAAAAGCACGAAGCAGCTAAAGAAGAATCACGTTCAACTTCTTGAGATGAAAGCGGTACTCGAGAAAGTCCAGAGTTTGTTAGATGAGGTCAGTCATTGAAAATCTGCATAGCAGGATGTGTTCAGTACCATGAAGGAGGCCTACAGCCATCCTAAAACTTGTGAACCCCATAGAACTAAAAGCTTTCTAGTTCAAAGCCTTGCAGTACTTTGATTTGTGGAGCTGCTCTGTTGTTTCTATCAGTAGAATTGATTACAATCACACTGTTGGAATTTTTCTATCTCCACGCACAACCTGCAGCTGATAACGATCGAAGATCGGAACTCGGTCTCTAGACCTAGTAAAATTGATAGAAACACTGACGCAACCGCTCGGAAAATTTAAACGGGGACTACTGGGACGTCGCCGCTCGGCTAGAGTTCAAGAGAACTGGGGAGACTACTCCACCCTTAATCAAACCTCAGGGGAGCGCCACGCTTCTAGCTCACATGCAATGCTGTAACGGCGCTCAAATCAGTCTATGAACGCTTACAATGAACTATGTTGGGCCGTCAATGTGCAGGGC